TGTGAGCAACGATTCGCAGCTACCGATGTGGATATGAAATGTCCCGGAACGAGCTCCTCATGTACATTTCAACTTGACTGGTTGGGGTCAGTTGGTATCGTTCCCTTGTAAGTACTGTTCATATACTAATTAACATTGACTGTAAGAACTCTCCGTGCACACTTGTTTACCGAAAATATGTTTCCATGCAAAACTTTATGAAAATCTTGCTGCAATAACTGCAAACGCACGCTCATAAACTTTTTGGACCATCAACAGTATCAACAAGCAAATTCGATACTCACGCACTAGATTATATCTACCAAATAAACATGGCAAATCAAAACCAGAATTACAAAGGAAAGTCCAAGCAAGAATCAAGTTGATACAAGTAAAACTTACCCGAACTGTGCTGCAGATAGTTCTTGACGAGATTATCGTTGTTGCCAATGCCAAAAGCAATTCCAAGATAGCTGCTGCGATGAGCCCAGCGTCAAGACGATAGTCGGTACCCAACCGCGTCATAGAACTATAAATAAAACAATGAAATCTTCCATTTCAGCATTGGAAGTCATTGACGCTGTTTTGAAATCACAAGGCAGGATCTATCACTTTGAACAATTATGTCGGCAGTATCAAATAACGAAATGCTGGAATCACACTCACGTGGAAGTCACGAATGGAAAAATGCCAAATTTTGCCAACTCAGATTTTATGTAAAGTTTCCCTGTGCATCACTTATAGATGAGAATTCTGAACAAAAAACTAACACCCTCATGTTGTCGTCCACGTGATCACCACACATTATTTGACACCGACTATTTCGAGGTAAAGAAGTCGCCAATAGATGCCAATCACATTCACCCCAACATTCGTGCTAAAAAAATGAATAAACTGCACTGAATATGAAAAGTAAAGAAGTATGAATACCTGGTAGAAGTGAATGTCAAAACTAGACACAATGATGATTGCCGGTACAAATATGATGATAGCGTGGATTGCCATTACGAGAAATGTAATCACTAGCCCTCTTCTATACGAGGCTGCACCACACAAGCCCACCAACCTAAAAATTATGACTAACACTGAATTTGATGTAGCATTACCGCACTCAATTTCCCCAGAAACCAACAAAGAGGACTTGAGATATGATACTCAAAAGGCAAGAATATCAAAATCCAGCTATGATATAGCATTTCGATGCTACGTTCGTAATGCCAACGTGCAAACTATTTATGATACTATTTCACTACTCTGGAAAAGTTTAAGAAATGAGGAAACCAAGGTGCCTCAGAAGTATGTATAAAAACATTAATAAGCAAGCCGGCCAACCAACAAGAAGGTAAATACTCTTGTTAAAGGCAGCGTCCACCCAAAATTTCGCCTCCCATGTTTTT